GTGATTATTTTTTGAATAACTCAAAACGAATAAAAGATAGAGATCTGCACCTTTCATTATTCCCTAGCCAAGCCCTGAAGCTATGTTTTTATAAGCAAAAACAAATTTAGAAAAAACTTCAAAGACCCGTTTTTCAGGAGATCTGTAGAAAACCAGTTCGGTTCTCCGAAAACAGACATAGAAATCTATGGATTGTTTTCATAGATATATAATCTAAAGTGTCCTCGACAAAACTGAATCTAAACCATACCTTGGAAATCCATGGTTCGAGAGGCATGGATGGTTATCCTGAAGCCTTAGCACTCCTCTACCGTTAGGTTTTTACATTCACACACTCGCGCCGGCTCACTCTCTCACACACAGATAAAGACAAGAAAAAATTTAAAGCAACCCGAAACAAACAAAAGGAATTGAAGAATTGAAAAAGCAAAAAAAATTGATTGGAGAGAGAGTACGATAATTAATTTTCACTGAATGTGTATCTGACCTTAGACAGTTAACAGTAAAAATTTGGGCTCGAAATGTTGGGTTTATGAACCAAAAAGTAGGTGTCCATGCGTCCCAGATGTCTTCTGCAATTCTAATGATACAGACTTCGAGGTGGTGTTAAAAATTTTTTCGACCGGCCAAAAGAAAATATATCACCGGCCAACCGGCCTGGTCGAGAAAATCTTGACCGGTACATCGATGATATAGTTACTATTATTTATAAAATAAAACAGTGGCCACGGTTAGTTTTTGAATAACTTTTGAACGGAAAAAGCTAGAATCATGAAGTTACCAGTATTTGATACAGGACACTTTGAGAAGTAAATGTATGGAAAAACTAGGGACCTATCAACTAAATCCGAACACTGAAAACCTCAAAAGTGCATGGTACATAGGTTTTCGGGTACGCTGAATATCGTGGAAATGTTTGTTTTGTTGTCCACATTAGAGAAACTTTAAAAAATGAGTTTTTCAGAAAAGTCAATTTTTTCGCTATGATCAAACTAAAATAAAAAGCTTCTGTTACCTTCATTTTTCAACCAAACTGCTTCACATTTTCAAAATTCGCCCAGTTTCACCTTCTATACAGCTTAGGAACGTTAAACTTATTTCTTATACTGAGATTTTACCTGAAGATCTTTAGAAGTTTTCTGGAAAATCTATTGAAGACTAGCTCTGTTTTTTGTAGTTCTGGCCATCAGATCAGATAGAACAATTTTTCTTATGCTCATTCGTCAACTTTCATGTAGTTTGATTGAAAAATGAAAGTAATAGAAGCTTTTTATTTTAGTTTGATGATAGCGAAAAAATTGACTTTCTGAAAAACTCATTTTTTAAGGTTTCTCTAATTTGGACAACAAAACAAACATTGCCACGATATTCAGCGTACCCGAAAACCTATGTACCATGCATTTTTGAGGTTTCCAGTGTTCGGATTTAGTTGATAGGCAGGTTCCCGGAGATTATCTGTGGCACCCGAACCGCAGTAGACGAAGAATTGAGGCTTACGCCGGGTTGTAGAGCGACATCTGTCGTATACTCACATGTGTGTAGGACAATACTTTGCTATGTAGATTTTTAAAACGTCAGGCGCAGACATTTTGTTTCGGAAAGTACATCATGGTAGACCTGATCGAGAGCCCTAGTTTTTTCATACATTTACTTCTCAAAGTGTTCTGTATCGAATACTGGTAACTCCATGATTCTAGCTTTTTCCGTTCAAAAGTTATTCAAAAACTAACCGTGGCCACTGTTTTATTTTATAAATAATAGTAAATTAACTATATTACTTATTTCTAACGGATCATCTGCTTTAAATAACTGATGACATGTTTTTAATTAAAATCGACCAATCACGCTGTTCAGAGTTACTCGTATTAGAGTCAGATGAGGTAATTCCGGCCCGTTTGGAGGTCCCTGTCTCCTTTTGAACACTGGTCGAAAACGGAAAGGGATTTTTAGGAAATTTTTACATCAGTGGATAGAGAACTGTTAGTTCTATCTTCATATTCAATAGGACGCTTGTCCGATTAAAAATGCCTTAGAAATACGCAAAATACTAAGAAGCTTTGTGCAAGAGGCCGGAATTACCCCATCTGACTCTACTTTTAAAAAGAAACAAGTGAAATATAAATGTTTGCCTGTGCTAATTCTTTTTCTAATTATATGAGGTGAAAGTTAGCTGTTGAATTGATTTTCATTTTCTTAATAATCCTTTTGTGAACGTTACTATTCAACTATAACATAATTATCCGAATTTCAAAATATAGTGCGAAAAATCCTTTTTTTGCATAACATTTTAAAGAACGGAGATGGAGACAATATTTTTTTCGCTGTGGTAACTCCGAAAATTAATAGAAACAAAGATTTTCGCTGCCACGCTGAGCCTTGTGGCAGTGTTTGTTTTCAGAAAATAGTTCAAATTGGTATGGTGATAACCTAAATTAAGTGAAATAATTCATTGTTAGCTATTTTCATCGCATATTAAAATATTTTTATAACTTATTCAAAATCAATCGAAACTACTTTGGAATCTCAATATTTAGTCTGTTTTAGTTGAATTATATCACAACATACAATAAACATGTTAAAAAATCAATGGAGAATAATTTAGTTCTTGATAAGATTCTCTAGAAATCTTCTAAAGTAAGAAAATATGTTTTACTATTCTCAAGTACAAAATTATGTTAAGCAGATAAAAGATTTTTTTTGCACTATATTTTAAAATGGATAGTAGAAAGACAACATGCCTGTTGTAAAATAAGAAATTAAAATCGAGTCATTGCTTCTAACGAATTACAGTCTACTGTTATAATGTTTTGATGATCAAGTTTAGATGTAATCGCATTTTGCCAACGCTAAATATAAAAATCGTTAATTATTGAATCTTGATGGAATTTCTTTTATACCTGTTTGAATGTACCGGACTCTTTAAAGATAAAATAATAAATTGCATAAACTGGAATCGGTAAGATTGATGATAATGCCATACACCATCCGATTATTTCTGACCATAGAGGATAACGATATTCTTTATTGTACGAAACAGGTTCATATTTAACTAAACTAAATACAGCAATGCTCTATAAAAAAAAAAGATAAGATTTCAAGTATTTCGATTTTTTACGCGAGTATGAATTTTTTTGATCACCAAACATTTTTAGATAAAACTGATGACCAAAAAAGGGTACTTCTTATCATCAGATTGTGATCAGCATCCTTTAGATTATTCATTTCTCAATCAACGTATAATATACAAAAATATGTACAATGTGGAGAAAAACAACATATTTACAAGTGAAAAGCTGTGCTAACTTTCTATGGACGCTCTTGGTGAGTTGGCGGTTAAGAGGGTGAGTTGGTTGTTAGGACTTAGTGAAATACAGCTATTTTACGGACGAAGCTGGCTTTTTATTTGTTGAAAATTCGAGGTTCTTTGCCAAACAAATTCACAATTTCGTCTAGGAGCATCAATTTTGACTTCAAATTCGTATCAAAGACTCTATAGTGTCTGTAGATTATGCAGCGAAAGTATGAAGGTTAATTATTGTGTGGTTCGGGAAATTCACTGAGGACGAGCATCCACGATTCAAACATATGTAGAAGAGCGAGGGTGAAGAACTAAGGGTCGCTCTTTGTACTATAGTATTTGCATTGAATGTACATCATAATCATGACAAAACAATCATGGAAGCCTATGGTTCCCTAAAAACGTATGTGAAACTTTTGTCAGAAAGGTTACACATTTACCTCTAAACTTCGCTATTTCGTTTATTTTGCGCCCTTTCCACTCCTCATATATTTTTCAAGCAAAACTAATAACATATTTGAGATCAGCAGACAAAACTCGGTCATTCACTTCATTAGATAATGAATCCGTAATATTTACGAAAGCTATTCAGGGCACAAAATCTCAGGATCCGAATTCGCATCGCCCGTACTCAAAGGATTAAATAAAATAGCTAATTCAATCGAATATTTATACGATTATTGTTTCATACTCAGTGGGCACGTGCAGATTGTAATAGTACTACTAACCAACACGACTGTTCATATATTAGAAAATCATTGAACATAAGCCACTAATGAGAACGATAAACATCTCGCCAAGCGACTGGATTAGCTATTTTATTCAATCAAGTTAGTGAGAAAACACCTATTCAACCATAAGAAAATGCAATAGTAAAGAACATCCATAGAAAGTTAGCACAGCTTTCCACTTGTAAATATATTGTTTTTCTCCACATTGTACACATTTTTGTATATTGTACGTTGATTGAGAAATGAATAATCTAAAGGATGCTGATTACAATCTGGTGATAAGAAGTACTCTTTTTTGGCCATCAGTTTTATCTAAAAATGTTTGATGATCAAAAGTACACTTTTTCTTTTTATACAATATAATCACTCATTTAGACTCACGGTACATAACAATGGTGTAAATATAGTCCAACACCATTTCCAAAATCGTCCCGGATAAAAACCGATCATATCATGAATAGTCTCATAAAATCGATTAGCTCCATAAAACCAGGCTATACTTATAGATTCGAAAAATAATAGAACCAACAAACACCAACCACTGGCTGAATAATAATCAAATATTTTAAATATATATATACCACCCTATTACAGCAAAGAAACTAAATAAATGAGTTTATCACAGATAAATAGAGTACCTGTGTGACCATCAATAATCCGACACCATAAGAAATGGCACACACAAGAGCAATAAACAGCTCTTTATATGAGCGAAGGATTGACCATTCATCAGTACATGCAGTTATAAATCCTTCAACAGTTACAAACTAAAACGATAATATTTAAGCATTTTTTTTCGTACTCGTTAGAAAAAAACATGTTACTTGACTATCAAGTCCAATGAAAATAATCATAACAAAAAATAATATTGACCAAAGTGGTGCTAATGGAAATTGAGCTATTGCTGCCGGATATGCAACAAATACTAGACCTGGACCTAAAAACTGACTGTTAAAGGATGTTATGTATTGTTAATATAATAATTGTGAACCTGAATCAGCGACATCACTCATAGGTTTTCCTTCTATTTTTGCCATAAATCCAAGAACGGAAAATACTACAAAACCACTAATCAAACATGTTCCTTCATTAAATACAGTCAATATTAGTGTATCTCTTTAACAAAAAAATTAGTTTAACTTAATTGTCTATCATAATGATGATATTATGATACCTATAACAATTTTTATGATAGGTATTATAGCTACCCAGTGCAATGAGAGCACCTAATCCAAGACCATAGGAAAAAAATATTTGTGTGGCTGCATCTATCCAAAGCTAAAATGAACAAAACAATATTGATAATTCTTTTGTTCTAGAGAAATAGAGTATTTACTTGTGAATTTTTCAATTTGGATAAATCAGGAATAAATAAATATTTGACACCATCCATTGCTCCATCTAATAGTAAACCACGAACCAACAAGATAAACAATACCACATAAGGAAACATTGATGTAAAATAAACGATCTAAATGATAACCATGAAACAAAATGTTTACGTCTAGATTATATGAAAATATCAATTATGAATAAATAAATGATTGATCACCTTTCCCGTCCATTTAATACCTTTCCAAATACAAAAATAACATGCAATCCATGCGATTGCCAATGTAATAACTAAAGGGATACGCAAAGTACCAATTTTGCTTATATCATCTGTGATTTGAAGCGTATTGCGTCTACAACAAAACAAACGTCGATTTTATTTAAAAATAAAATATGTTATTTTTGTCTACACTCACTCCCAAAATTCTTTTACGGGACTCGAAAATTGTTGTAATTGTTCTGTAATATTGTAATAACATGTTAAATTTGAATTATTTTGAGAAGAACAGGTAGTTAAATATTGTGTATAATTGCGCATATCGCTGATAGTTCGACACTGATCAGTATTCCACCAATTTCCACATTGTGACCATGGTAATGTTTTTGTAAATGAATTATAGATATAGTAGAGAGCCCATGCTAACACGACAATATAGTAACAATTGAGCCAAAATGAAATAATTACACCTCCGTAACCGATACCTATGCACAAACAAAATGAAAAAAAAACAATGAATATCGTAGTGAATTTACTTGGTACAAGTACTTGATTACTTGAGAAGTACGTGACAAGTTAAACACTTGACAAGTACTTGAGTAAGAACATGTCAAGTGTCGGCTTGCTTCAGCCAATTACTTGGACCAGTCAGTCACTCTTTTCTTTTGCATTAATCAGTTGTATATAAACACCGCAATATCAATCTTTATACACTTTTATAACGATTTGAACAAAATTAGCAGCCGTTCTACAAAAGTATAGCTCCAGAATATGTATAAAATAAAAATAAATGGGAACAAGTATTTGACTGAACTTTTTCAAGTAAATTTACTTGCATTGTGTCAGCTAAGTGCTTACATTTTACTTGAAAAGGTTCACACGTACTGTCCTCGTGACTTAATCCAAGTATCTGCGCGACTCAAGTACATTCACTAGGGTATATTGCATAAAAAATTATTATTAAAATCAATTCATTTGACCTTTAAATATTGGACACATTTTCCAAATTGTTAATCCTCCCAAACTTGAATACTGTCCAAGTGCTATTTCCAAAAAGAATAACGGTATACCACCACAGATTAACGTTATATAATATGGAATTAAAAAGGCACCTAGTAAATATAACAACAGAATTGAGTATAATTTTTTTATCCGGTCTCCCTGCGAGCAATATGCTGGGGAGTCAGGTTTTTATAGTTAAAATATACAAAAAAATAAAAAATACTCAAAAAATGATAAAACATTTTTGAAAGAGTCAGCTTTTACTGAACGTCAAGTTATTCTCCTAGACTACCATGGTACTTTTATGTTCCTTATGGGCTGGAGCTTTTATATTGTTTCCAGATCGACTTTTTAGAAGTTAAGGTTGTGGAATTTTATCTGAATTACTGGGTTTTCCAGCAAGAAGCATGTATAACTGCCGTTACGTTTCTATTTTTTTTTAAGCTATTTTCAAATCACTCAGTCATGCTGTAGAGCTGTTTTACAGAGAAATCTGGCTAAAACAAACATCGATAGGAGCGACTCATCAACAAAATTTTGCATAGGGAATGATGGTTATAGTCGAAGAACTTTTCTGAACAAAGCATTTTTGCCTTACACTACCCTGAGTTTTTTGTTCGTTTGTTCGCCAGCGGGCTCATCTCTATTCGAGGCACTACTGTGGAATCAAATATGAACTACGTAGCTTTTTCAGTTATATATATGCAGTTCTCAATTTCGTCTAGCGGCACTTATTACTGAATTGAGGTTGAATTTTGTAATATTGTTTTAATTTTAATACATTCTTTCCGTAAACTGGTTGCATAGTAACATTGTTGAATCAAATAAATATCAACTGTACATATGTAAACTATAAGTGCGGCAACTACTTAAGCATTACTGCTAATAGCGCCTACTGGAGACAGGATCCGATCTCTGAAGATCTAGTTTTCGTATAAAAGTGATCAATAAAATACCTCCTCCATGTTTATAACATAAATATGGAAATCGCCAAACATTTCCAAGACCAATAGCGAAGCCAATACATGAAAATAGAAAATCCATATTTCCAGACCATTTTTCGCGTTCAGGTAAATCCATTGTTGTGAGACTTTTGTCTGACGAAATGTCTATTTCATCAAAGTCATCATAAAATTGAACAGATTTCAGTTTTTTTTCGTCTTTTAGAGATGGTAACGTCATTGAACTCGAGACTTCTTTAGAGGAGAAGAAAAATGATGCTGTATTTCACCTTTCGTTTTTTTTTTAGTATAAGCGAACAAAACAGATTTATATGTATCTTTGTTTTGAGAGATTAACGCTTATTTGACTATTCTCTTCGATGATAACTATTTGCTTTTTTATTAATCTTTTACCTCGTCAATGTAATTTAATGGGACAGATTGTTTTTTTATGAAAGAGTTTTCACGTAGGAGCGAAGGGTTGAGAGTTTTCAGCGACATTTCAGTCGGATCTAAAGATGTTTTAAAAACACTACTCAATTAATTAACAAATTTATTTAACCACATGTTCATGTTGGCGAAGTTCATCTTAATACACGGTGCAAAAATATTTGTAACGAGTGAAATTGAAGACTAATATGGAGAAGAGAGATATTCTGCTTTTTCTGTTTCATTAGAACCATATCAATCGTTAACTGTGCCATAAAACTATCAAGTTCAATAATGAGTCTTGAAATTTCTATTCTAATGCAAACTTCTGTTCATTTTGTTTGTATGCGTTTGTATGCTTACGTGAAATAAGCCGCTTTCCGATGATGATTTCACCAAAAGTCATAAATAACTTTTGTTCTGTTTCCAAATAATATTTGGGTATATTTGCTTGAATCATACGAAATAGATGGGAGACAGGAATTATCGTGGAACAGTAATCTTTTGGAATCAAACGTGATCTCTCGAGATCCTACAAGGCGACGTGAAAAAATTTGAACTATCCATGATAGAACGGCACAGGATGAAAATTTTCAAAATATACCTAAGACGCGACAAAAATTTTATCTTATCGGACTCTGTTTCTAGGAAGCATATCGTGATAGCCTTCGAATATTAGAAGAACTTGTGAGACAAATTCATTCGATTCCTGACACATCAGCGGGAGTAGAGCACTAATCCAGCGGTGTGGGTAATTTACTCAATTAATTAGGGTAATTTACAAGGTTATATCCTAAACAAGTTCACAATATCCTACTTATAAGGTAAAGTAAGGTGCCAAAAGTTCAAAGATTTTGGTGGAAAATGTCGATAAAAAAAGGGGAAAACGTCGAAGAGAAAAATGTAGAAAAGCAAAATGCCAAAAAGCGAAACGTCGAAAGCGAATATTGGGAAGAAGAAAAATATCGAAAGGAAAACGTTGAAAAGGAGAAGACTCCTTTCTGTTCCTTCAAAATCACTGAAAGAGATATACGTACTTTTACCATTAGAAATATTATTAGTTCTCGTAAGACTAGTACGCCTTCTCCAATCTCGTAGCAATTATATTCACTCATTGAAAAAGTAAAGTATGATGAAGTTCAGTACGCCTGCAACGACCAACGCCTCAGCCTCACCCTATCCACACGCTTAGCGCATCACTATGCAGCTTGGTGCAACGGCATCGGCTCACAAGCAATCGGGAGATGCAGCAGCTTTTCAACAATGATTTGACACACTCAATGGATGATTTCTGAATTGAAAAATCAATGCAAAACAGCTACTGGTTGGATTATCGTTGTTGATCAGATAAACGAAAAAGTAGATCACGATCTATTGGCCTTGTCATTCCTCTTCTACACTACAATCCCGAATTGATTTCCAGTTTATAGAAAATCGATCGAAAAATCATGATTTTTTTTTTAAATTTTCTACCCTCTTAAAAAAATGTGTTCTGCAGTTTTTCAGACAAATGAAAAGTCAACGGGAATTTATTCTTCATTTGTCCCAAATAGAGAACTCAAATTCTGTTCTTTAGCACTCGAGAACTCTAAATTTGTTTTTCAATTTTTCAAAGAACGAAAAAAAACAGTTTTTTTAAAACCGAAGAACAAATTTGGAGTTCTCGAGTGCTGAAGAACAGAATTTGAGTTCTCTATTTGGGACAAATGAAGAACAAAATTCCCGTTGACTTTTCAGCTCTTTAAAAAACTGAAGAACGCGCTTCTTTAAGAGTGTAGTTTATAGAAATTCCTCGACAAATTTCCAGCTTTCTAGAAAATGTTGATTTTCTACTTTTTAGAAAATCGACTTGAATTTCCATAAATTCGATTTTCTGTAAAGATGAAGAATCGCTGAGGATTTTTTATAAACAGGAAAATCGCCGGGGATTTTCTAGTTTATAGAAATTCGATCGATTTTCTAGAAAGTGGAAATTCGCCCACGCAGGCAAGAATGTATACCAGCTAAACCGCACGGGTAACCGTGTGTGACTTTATTTTAAACACGGTTCATGCCGGTCCATGCGAATATCAGACCGACTGTCGCCGATAGAGCACCGGTAAATCGGAGGTAACCGGTTATTCACTGAAAACCGCGGGTCTCGGAGGTTGTCGATTTTTCGCTGGTTTTTTGTAAAATTAACACAAGCGGTTCTCGCCAGTCATGACTGCCGTTGCCTGCGGTAGACATGCAACGGTTACGGTTAACCGTAACCGTAAATGACAGATCTATAACAACTTAATATATGTTTGGTTTTTAGTTCTTTGATATCGGTTTACATTAGAAGTAGACAAGGAGACGTTATAGTGTATCTGCTATAGTGACAGTCTACACTACGTTGCACAAAAAAGTAGCAGCTGTTAAGTAGCGGCATCGGCATATATCTCATCAACCACTGTTTGTCAGAGTAATTTGGCCTTTTCAAACAAAATCTTTCACCTTTTGTCATGAATCTCAGCATTTTATCTAATGAATTTGAGTACCACACAACAACTCATTCGCCGATTTATTTTGCGACACTATTAATTATATAAAAACACAAGTTTTGTGCAGTTGACACATAATTTTGGACTTTTATAATTTCTGTAAAGTTAAAGTAATGAATCAGAGAAAATGGTTCTCTGCAGATCCGTAACGCTCCCTTTTTAAAAAAAAAGGCAGTGTGCACAGCCAGGTCCCTCTCAGAATAGAGAGAGACCAAAGCTCAGACCAAGGAACGTTTTACCCGCGGTTTTGAGCGTTCTTGTTCTCCTTAGCTGAATGCAAGCTTTCGGAGAGAAAACCACCTTGATAGGCGATTCTAGCTAAACATTTTCGAAAAAATGTGATCGGTGAGAACCGAAGATACGTTTTAAAAAGGAGTGAATGAATCGTTCCCTTTCTAAAATAGCCGTCAATCTAGGCGGATATCTTTTTTCCAATCTCTGTGAACCGCAGTTTTATACAAAAAGTAACCGCCTTCATCTGTGGGAAATTGAAAAGGGCAATTCTAGCCAATCTAGCACGCATGTAGATCTCTGCAGTTTTCACCAAAATATAACCGCTGCTATACCCCAACGATGCAGAAATAATATCAAAAACACATTTGCGGTTTTTATACAAGAGAACGGTTATTGTGTCGCAAACCGTCGGCTTTGGCCGGTTTTTCTGCTTGAAAATGTACCGGTGTGACCCGTATTTTCGACTGGTTTTTCCTGTTGATTTTCGTATACGGGCAGGAATTTCTAGACCAAATGCTTATTCATCTGTTTGTTTTGCAATCAGTGTAGGTATAAGAGCGTCACGTAAAGACACTCATATTACACTTAAATCAGCTTTGGCAGTTTCTACTTTAGATCACAATTCTGCCTATGTCCGCAAGAATTTTGATGAAGGCCGAGACAGTGGTGGCGTGAAGTTTCGGCAGGAAGGTCCCAAAATCGGAGACTTTCACCAGAAATTTCTCAGAAGCATGAAGGATCAACTCCAATACTACCTGGTCGCGCCGCCACTCAGTGCAGATTCGCCAAGGAATTTCTAGTTTATAGAAAATCAAAAAGGAATTTCCACTTTCTTAGAAATTATTTATGGAAACTCAACGACGATTTTCTATAAACTAGAAAATCCTCGAAGACTTCTTATAGATACTCTTTAAAATTCGCCGAGCATTTTCCATAAATAATTTCCAATCTTACAGTGTAGTCTCTTTTTTTATGTGATTTAATAAAATATCTCTTTCAGTGATTTTGAAGGAATAGAAAGGAGTCGTCACTTTTCGAAAGGAGTCGACGCTTTCCTTTCGATATTTTTCTTCTTCCCACTATTCGCTTTCGACGTTTCGAACTTTGCTGAAAGAAGCATTTTAATTAAGAAAAAGTGGTTTTTAATATTTCTAAAAACTTTTTTTGAGAGAAAAAAATAGACGGACCAAAAATTTCAAAAAACGCTTCAGTTTCAAAAACATTCATAGTTTTGTCTTTTTCTTTCTTCTCATTTTTCGGCAAATATTTTTTCTAGATTCAGTATTAAACATTGAGTATGAAAATGGTGTTGGATCGAAGGTTATTCAATTATTGAAGCCAAAAGGTTATTCGTTATGGTCATCTGGAACTCCCCTCTCAAATAATGTCCGGGTATTTTGCAAACCTATCTAGTTTTTCTGAGAAGAGATGAAGCCAAGCTTTTTACTTTATTAGAATCGCTGAGAGGCCAGCTTTAAAAATATGAAATGCTTTTTAGAAAATTTTGTTTCGTCTTTGAGAAAGCGTGTCACCTTTATTTTGACAACTGCTAGTGTGGTCGTTAATATCTTAGATGATGCGGTTGGCACTAATAAGAGAAGAAGATAAAACAGGAGATTTCCAAAGGGTCTCTGAAAAATGCACCTTACTTTACCTTATAGATAGAATATTGTGAACTTGTTTAGAATTTAACCTTATTCTTCTTTCGTTGATTAAATTATCCACACCGTTGGATTGGTGTTCTACTCCCGCTGATGTATCAGGAATCAAATGAATTTGTCTCACAAGTTCTGCTAATATTCGGAGGCTGTCACTATTAGTGGCGTAGCCAGGATTTTGTTAGTGGGTGGGCGTTGCCCCAAATTTTTTCAAAATGGTAGACATTAGCGCAGAGTAGTGTGAATTATAAATTTTTTCCAATTATAAAATCCACTGTTCTGTGTCTATATTC